AGCCTTTAGGTCTGAATGGTGACATTGGGGACTGTAGATCTATCACTAAAAGGGCACATACATACATTATGTTTTAGAAATGTATTAGAGCTGCATTGGGTTTATTTATTTTTTATTTATATTTATTTATAGTTTTCGTATTGCTTGATATTCAGAGATGCAAAACTGTAAGGACTGTGATGTCTTTTTCACATTACTTCTTATGTTTATTTAGCATTTATCTTAATCTTATTTTAATTTTTCAGACTAGTAGCATAATAAAATGTTACTGTGGTGTTCTTAACAATTAAATTATATTGGCACATGGAGACTTCAAGGAACTTGACCTTTCTCAAACCCAGCCTAGCTCTGACTATAACATGTAGGCTGTTAATTATGTTTTTATTGGAAGATGCAGCCAGACTGTGTCTGGGCAGTTTAATTTAGCTCTTTATAGATGTGGTCAAAAATGTCTCCAAACATGCAGCAGGAAAAAGGTGCTACTCTTGTTCAAAGACGTAGCAATATAGAAAAGGTTGTTTATGTATTTGTACTTAGCTGTAATTGGGTTATCAGCTGAGGCTCTGAGGATTAAATGAACTGACCTAAATACCGGGTCTCAGTTAGGGGTTAATGTCTGTTTTCCTATATAGTATCAGATTTGGTTTCCAAAATACCCTCCAGGGCATTTGATCTTTGTATTGAAAGTGTGAAGCCATCCTGGAATCATTCATTACAGTTCATGCCAAGCAATAGTTAGTTTGAGAATAAGCACTGAGAACAGATTAAACAGCATCTGAAGAAAACACCTGATCCATCCCAGCCTCACATAAGGTAATGCAGAAGTAGCCTGAGACAGACTGATTAGGGATAGCTGGTGTCTGGATATTATTGCTGGCATTGTGGGTTATTATTTCAGATAATAACAGATGCGGAGAAAAGGAGAAATCATCCATTTTCATTTACAAATGGTTCTTTATTCTCCAAGAGACAGGGTAGCTCTAATCAAATCGTTGCTGTCAGGCAATCCCCTGGACGAAAAACCTTATTTACCATGATCTGTTTTTTGGTATTTTTCCCCCCCCCCCCCCCACAGTGTACATCAGGGAAACCTCATTAGGTCCAGAAGCAAAATGGGAAGGGAAGATGAGCAAAATCACTATCCCAGGGCTGGAGAATTCTCCGAGAGGAGGGGCCCAGTTGAGCAGTTTAATGGGTCAGTGAGAATCAGAGTGTGTTCGGCTGCAGGCTCTGGCCATGTAGGCAGGCATGTATACCACCATTTAGTTTGATTTTTTTCCTGTTCACTAAACAAGCTATTTTTTCCCCAAGACTGTAAACAATATCCATCCCTTTGGGAAGCCAGAGAGAATATTAAAGTGTGAAATAGCTTTATAACCTAGTCATTCCTTTGTGTTTCCAGCAAACTGGCATGCTGTTAGTGAGCCCCAAAACGTGCCAGGTATTGGTCTCAACATCTGAGTCATTCAATAACCATTAGCAATTAAGACCAACAATTACAACCTTGTGAATTTCTGAAGTGTTGCTGACACCTCAAAGAAAACCTTAAGAGGCATTCTGGGCCAAATTCTGGTCTAAATCGGGAGTAAGTTCATTCTCTGCAGAAGAGTCACCCCAGATTTATGCTAGTGGAACGGAGTAGAATCTGGCCTCCATTCAGAAATGATTCTGCAAACAATTTCCCGTTCTCTTCCTTCACTTTTTATTACCAGCGATACTGAAAACAGATGGCCAGAGCCCTAGCTGGTGTAAATCAGCATACCTCTGTTCAAGCTACAGTGATTTACATCAGCTGAATATCTGGCCCATCTTCATCTACTCCTTTGGGATCTCTGAACAATAACGCCACAGAGCATTTGTGATACCCTGACTAGAGCTTCTATATTTGTGAGGCAGATCCTGGTCTTAGTTACACCAGTGTAAATCCAGAATACCTCTGTTGGCGCTCTAGATTTATTGTGGTGCAGGTGAAAACAGATTTGGCCCTGTGACTCACCAATGGATGTCTTTCTCTCTTGGTATCCTTTCATTTGCTGTAAAATAAAAAAGTAGTCCCTCCAAACTAAAAGGAAAGTAGCCATACTTCCTAGCATTATACAGACTGAGAGTTGAGAAGGATAAAGAGGGTCGTTAGGTGGAGGGATCCTGCTGTCTGTGGAGGAGAGAGTGAGCTGCCAGCAGCCTCTGTCCACAATCATGTCATTTTCAGAAAGGGGTTCAGCCAGTTGGCGGTCTTCCCCCAGCAGTCCTGGCTTCTTCGGTCGGGGGGACATTGGGGACGGGAAGACCAGTATCTTCCCCCCCCGAAGAACATGACACCAGCCACCTCAAATGCGTCTTGTCCCCTTCTTGATATCAAATCTTATGAGTGGCTCTTTTGAAATCTCACCCCCAAATAGCAGGAATCTCACAAGGTTTCCACCAGGGGACAAAATCTTTTCAGCTGCCAAGCGAGAACCCTTTGTACTTACAGAGCCAACCTGGAACCAGAGCTCCAGGAGCAGGTTTCAATACTCATTCTGGTCTGGGAAGATTTCTTAGGTGTTTGGATTCAAGTGTCCATTGATCCATCCCTATATGTAATGAGGGGCGGGGACAGTGACTGCCATCGTTATGGATACAGAAGTCTTGTCATTTGAACTGCCTGTTCTCAGCCATTTGCAGCTTTCTGAAACATTCACGTTATGGGATGGAATTTCCCAGGCTTGGTCTCTCTCCAAAGAGAGGTAATATTTCTTGGAAGCTTGAGGAAAAAGGGTCACAAAGCTTTTTAGTACCAAGGCAATGCAGAAAAAAATATTTCCCCTCATTTTAAAAAAATGCATACCATGTTTTTGAAAAAAGCTGTAGGGCTGGAGTGGCTGAAGGTAGAAAATTCGCCCACCCTTTGCCTGCCCCAGATGTTTCTTTGGGGGTAGCTTGCACCCCAGGTGTTGCCATCTGGGACTAAAATTATAGATAGCTTCTGAATGGTTCCTTATACCTTTCCTCCCCACCCACAGGTACCCATACTGAGGGCCAGCTATTCTACCCCTTAGAAAATATTTGTTTTGCCCATTAAGATTTATAATTAACACAGGAGTTTTCCTTTAAGGATGCTGAATGTAGCTCAACCCAGGGTTTTCCGGCATGTCCCTGAATCACTGCGTTGCAGAGACAGGGAGTTCACTGGCAATGCTGTGTTTACTTCTGAAACGGGGGCAAGGTCAGTGTCAAAGAATCTGGCTGTTTTTAAGTGCCTCTGCATTTGCCAGGGCTGCTCTGACTATGTTTTAAGAATGATGAGTTTTAGAAAAAAAGACCCAGAGCATTTTGTATGAGAACTGTGTTGTAACCTGAAAGGAGCAGTTTCTGAAGGCAGATCATAGAAGGGTTTTGCTGATTTCCCTGCATTTGTAGCAGATAATAAAAACTAAAACATGCATGGGAATCAGGTGACTGTCTACATTCACTACAGCCTTATCTGTATCAGCCATTCAAGAAGAAAGAAAACATCAACATGCCCCAAGAAAACTGAATGCAGTGAAAACATGGAGTCATTGTATTTTCTGCTGAGTTCAAAGTAGATGTTTGTGTGAATATGTTTAATCCATTTATTGCCTGGAGGAAAATAGTGCACCCTTTATTTTACCCTTCTTTAATGTTGGCTATCTCTCTCCCAGCATTGATTGAAATATAAAGCCCGAATCTCACATACACACATCCTACACTGCTGTAAAGTGGAGTTACTCTTGATTTACACCAGTGTAAGTGAAATGAGAGTCAGGCCCATTATGTTTATATATCAAGGTATTTGCTGCTTGTCTTTTCATCTAGTTGTAATTTGACAAATGGCTAATATGCCTATTAAGTGGCAGGAGGAGAAGAGAAGAGAGTGAATCCCACAGTGAGGTCTGGTCTATACTACCCGCCTGAATCGGTGGGTAGAAATCGACCTCTCGGGGATCGATTTATCGCGTCCCGTTGGGACGCGACAATCGATCCCCGAATCGGCGCTCTAACTCCACCAGGGGAGGTGGTAGTAAGCGCCGCCGACAAAAAGCCGCAGAAGTCGATTTTGCCGCCGTCCTCACAACGGGGTAAGTCGGCTGTGATACGTCGAATTCAGCTACGCTATTCATGTAGCTGAATTTGCGTATCTTAAATCGACTCCCCCCTGTAGTGTAGATGTACCCTTAGATTCCCCAGTCATAAAGGCCAGAGGTGCTAGTCATAAGGGTTTGATATTCTAATTGCACGCAGTTCCATCTCTTAGTTACCTGCACCTCCCATGCTGACAATCTGCTCCTTCTCCTGGGGAACACACGGAGAGCATTCTGTGGTTGTTCCCTCTCTCCCCTACAGTCGTGGGAAGAGAAGCCTGCATTCTCTTCTGCTTGTTGGAATAATAAGAATAGTGGCCCAAGTTCACCCAGGCCACCAAGTTCCAGGATCTCAACCTGCTCCCAGACATTGAGGCCTCCCAGTAGAAAGACCAGAATTCCCTGGAGCAGTTTTGTCTCAGTGTCTTTAAGGAGGGATGACTCAGCAATCAGTTGCAGTCAGCCAGGTCTTCCCCTCACTGGGAGCATGAATAACAGGAAAGTAAAATAATGTGAGAGACTCAGGAAGTAAAGAGATACTCTGCATGGGCTCTGGGGTTCAGTCCAGTTCTGTGAGCAGCCACTCCAGTAGCCTGTCCCCTTGACCCCCATGAAAGGGGAGGGGAAGCTGAGCTGAAGACAGGAAATTTTCTTGAAAGCCCTTGCGTTATAATATGAACGAAAACAGAAGGCCTGATGATATACTCTAGTGTGTGAACAGGAGTTTACCTGTTCTCCACATTTACTTCCACTACTCCAAGCGGGTCCCTCTCTTTTCTCAGGCCTGGCATGACTGTCCCGTTGGGAAATCCCTAAAGGCAGCAGAATACCAGCTTGCAAGGGGAATGCCAATGCCCCAGTGCAATGTCTCATCTCTGCTGAGTCATTTAAGACCGTCTCATTGCTTTTTTGCTGTAGGTTTTTCGTACCGATCTGATAACAGCCATGAAAATCCCTGACTCACATCAGTTGAGTCCAGATGAGTACTACATACTTGCCGATCCCTGGAGACAGGAGTGGGAGAAAGGAGTCCAAGTTCCAGCGGGAGCAGAGGCGATACCTGAACCAGTGATTAGGTAAGTGAGCACAATACTGATTGTGCTGCTAGATGCCTGCTGTCTCTTTTCCTGTCCTTGGACGGGATACTTATTTACTTGGCATTGTGCTGCCCATCTGTTTATTTGAGGAGCTTTCAAAATAATTTGGGTTTATAGTGCTGTCTAAACTGCAATGTAGAGTAAATAAAGCAGGCAGGCCTGGAACTTGAGCTAGGTGGAAGCGAGCCTTAAGCTGGTAAAAAACCATCAGTCCCAGGATTCAGATCCAGGGGGAGGGGGCAAATGATCAAATGCAGTAGAACCAGGTGACGCTTCCAACTGCAGCAGTGGCCTGTGCTTCTGTGAGGACAGCCAAGACACAGTGGAAATGTGCAAGAGGGGACAAGTGAAGGGCAAAATCCCTTAGTAAGCAAGTAATATGTATGCGAGAACATATCTGTCTGGGCAGACAGAAATGTGGTTTTATAGTCTGTCCAGACCTACCAGCATGGTCCTGGAAGGGCACACTCTGGGCTGTACAAGCTTAGCAGTGCCCCAGCGGCCATACACGCGAGTGACTTCGTTCGGGTTGGTGTAGAAATCAGGTCTGGGATGAGTGATAGATTTTAGGCTACAGAGTAGCAGCCGTGTTAGTCTGTATCCGCAAAAAGAACAGGAGTACTTGTGGCACCTTAGGTGCCACAAGTACTCCTGTTATTTTAGGCTACGTGACCCAGCATTGCAGCATTCACGGTCAATTTATTGCTTAAAACGAATCCTTCAGTGTGGCCTGGGAATGTGTCGACAGAGGTTAACATGGAGCTTTGGGATGGGATATGAACTCAGGCTCCTCCCGCCAGATGTTATGACAGAGATGTGAGTGCTCTCCCTTGAAGAAAGTCCTCTCTCTTTCTTGGATGGCTGGGCATGAGTGAGAGAAGGACTCTTAGGGGACACCAGCTCTGCATTTGCCCAGGTTGGTGGCATTTTGAAATGACCCAGGGGTTTGGAGAGGGTAAAATAACCATAAAAATCCACACACACGTTAACCTCTGGTGATTTATGGGCGTGCAGGGTCCACTGAGAAACGCAGTGCCTGTGCTGGAGTCCCACTGAAGTCAGTGGGAGTGGAGACTTGGTAAGGGCTGCAAGACTTGGCCCGATAACTTTAACCTGCTATCTTTTAGTGCAGTCCATTTTAACACCTTGCGCACAGGAGAGGAAAGAAGAACGCTGGCTGCTAAATAGACAGACAGCCACCAGAGGCAAGCTATAACAAATGTATCAGTCTAGATAACTATAATTTCAATAAATATTTTAAAATAGGCAACAATAAAAGATCAGTAGCTGCTCAGATAGAAAAGGGATGTGGAGTTACTGCTGTCATCGATACAGAAGCTGAGCACTAGGCATAGGCAAAGGGCAGCAACATCCTCTGCTGTCTGCACTGAAATTCAAGGACACTTTTTTAAAGCCAGAGACGTAACGCCTGTGATGAGATTACATAATACTTGTTGAACTGCAGGACAAGGAGATCGTGACTCCTAGCTGCTGGGAGTGTCCAAAAGTCCCAGAATTTGGGTCACAAGTCTCTCAGTGCGTCACACAACTACTCCCTTGGGATTCCCTTGGCACATGTTGTATCCTGCTAAGTGTAGTAAATATGGCCGAAGGTACTGTTGCAGCATGATGCAAGCAGGGGGAACAATCCAGTGTTTCCCTCTGGCTAGCAAAGGTAAGAGAAATATTAGTAATAGGGGGCTAACAGACACCATCAAGAAAAAGTATCTGGCATGAGGTCTTTCATGGTCTATGCCTACAGTTCAGACAAAGCTAAGCAAATTGTATTAAGGATTTGGGGCTGGATCAGGACATGGCCACTGTGCCCACAATCCCCCAGCTCCATTACTGAAGACTAAGCTCTATTTTTTCTATTAAAATGTATTTCAATTCTTCCCTTTGCCATATGATGACAGCCAGCTGTCCAGGTAACTCCACCAGAACTTAGGGCAAGTTATATGCTCTATTCCAGTGGGCTGCTGCCAGCAGTGTGTCCACCCCCTGAGCTGTTTTCCTTTTCTCTTTTTCTTCCTTTTTAACTTATATGAATCATTTGGATAAGAATATCAAAGATCTTTGGATTCCATGCCTTTAAAATGGTACAGGTCACCGTGGAGACCCTGTATGTTGTTAATCTTTAAAAATCAATTTAAAAAATGCTTTCAGGAACTCAGCAGGGGGAGATGACTTCAGATTATATGCAGGAAATTCTGTTTTGCTCCTCAAATGATGGAGGAATTTCAGTAAAGTCAATAACCTCGTCTGAAGCACAGTTTGTCCCTCGGTGACAGCTGCTATTGCAGCTGCCGGCCAAAAGTTATGAAGTAAACTTTTGTACACACATACCCCCCCCTTCCCAAGAGAAAATATAGAAAGAAATGAAACTTTAATGAGAAGTCTGAACACATCAAAAGGGAAGTTGTAAAAGGGACTGTTGAGGTGACTTACTCCTTGAAAAACACCTGTGTGTGGAATATCTTTTTTTAGTCATCTTTGATAGCTAACCACAGTCTGAACTCGGAAATGTCCAGCTCTTGGACTGAAGGCTAGTTTGGGGTTTATTTCAAGATGAAAAGTGATAGCTTGGCACTGCTGCTGCAGTAAACGCCCATCTAAAACCAGCCTGAGCTGTTACACTGGGAATTCACATTTTTGCAAAAAGCTTTCGTTTCTAGGCATTTTGTTGGACCTTGTTTTGTTTCATAGCTTTGTGAGCTAAATCTTCCTACCCCTGCCAGGGGACAGGGAAAGCCTGGATTGCCGTAGAACCTGTCCAGGTGTGCTGCACGGATGGTGAGACTGCACAGAGGCCCTGGGGAGGACAGTTCCATCATGGCTCTACAGTGGGCCAGGGGATTGGGTTGGGGCAGGTGTGTTGCCAAGCATGGCCATCGTGCCCACGACCACCCATATCCACAAATCTAACCCTGCCTCCTGGAGCTGTGGGAGCACTCACACAGTGTCCCTGTGTCATGGGTAGGATCCCAATGCCCCATTTTCCCATATAGTTCCCCTGCGCACAGATAACCTGATCCAGCTGTGCACAGGGACCAGGATTTTACCTTGAGTTACTAAGTGGAAGCAGAAACCACAGTTTCCTGTATCGCTAAAGCAGGTGCGGCCATGCTGTCCCATGCAGCACATGGTATTTCAGCAGATTAGCTTGCAACAACCTTCATCTTCGGTCCTGAGGGAGCAAATAGAAACAGTCTCTCTCTCTCTCTCTCTCTCTTTCCATCTCGCTCTCTCTCTCCCTCTCCTCAAATTCTTCAAATCAAAAACTCCCCAAGAGAGTTCACTTCTACAGGGCCCAATCCACCATTTCCCTGCTGTCATTTTCACCAGTGCAAAGTGAGTGAAATAAAGTGCCTTCCTTCGGATGTGGTAGCACCGTGTGCCCACTTTGCACTCTATTGACCCTGAGTAAGCGACTGTGCCCAGGTACACGGTTGTGGTGAATCAGGCCCACAGAGAATAAACGGTGGCACTGTCAGATTTTCGCTTTTAAATCCCACAAGTGTCTTTCATCACACAAAACAGGAAGCACAGCAGATGTATGTGTATGCCCTTCCTCCCCAGAGCTCCCCGCTTGATACAGTCATTGGTCCAGATGTTTTCCGGTTTTTGGTGCGGATGGGATAGTCACAGTGATGAGACATGGGTTTGAACTGCTAAGCATGGATCTGAACTGGAACCCCTGGCATCTCCTGGTTTAGAGTAGCACAGGAAAGAACGTGACCCGCCTTAACATTTGTCTTCTCTGGGGGCCATTGCTAACTCTTCACATTGCTAACTGCATTTTAGAGCATTCAAAAGAAAAATATTTTCAGGACCCACAGTTTTACTTGTCTGAAAACTTATTTTCCCCCAGTACGAGGGCTTAACTTTTTCCCTGTCCATCCCCTTCAGGGGTCGTTAATTTAAAATTGAAATTGCATCAGCTCTTCCTCCCAAATATTTTTATAGTGCCAATCTTATTTCAGTTCTGAGCATAGGAACACTGTGTGCATTTGTCATGGCATGAATCCACAGTTTTATTTATGTTAGGCCCTACAGTAAATTTTTGCTTTGTTTCTTGAATATTTTTTTCCATTTAATGAATGATTTAAAAAGAAATAACGACAATATCTCAGGGAACACAGGGAATCAGGAAGTCAAACCTGTTAAGGAAAAAAAAGTCCAAATCTGGTTACAGTAAGTGATATATAGAGCCTAATTGACACCCTTCTGGCTTTTTGAAAACCCTGTGCTCAAGTAAGCAACATAGAGTGCCTAATTCTCATTTATAATAAGGTCATTGCAACTACTGTAGCAGTGTAAAGGGACCTTAAAACAGGTACAGCACAACCCTTTACACTGTCAGAGAGGGGTAAAGTGGCCATTGTATAAAGGAGAATTAGGGCCCTAGGTTGATGAATGCTCTGTGTTAACTCACTTGTGCTAATGCTGTCACTTTGACAGTGATTTGTATGTGAAATTCCTAGAGGGGAGGAGAAGCCACACAGAGATCTGGGAGCTGTGGACTGGTGCGTCATAATATATTTGGCAAATGATACTGCAACCCACAGGAAAACAGATTCCATCTCTGGGGAGCGAGGGAGCATTTAGGCCATGAGCAGATAGATATTTTGTGCAAGGGGGCGGGGGTCACTTCCTACCCAGCAAGTCAATCCCTGGCTCTGAAAGGGATTTTATACCCAGCTTCTGCCATTCTTTTCATCTTTCAGCTGGGATTTGAGAAATGAACTCTTCCTACTTGTGCGTTGCCTCTAGGTCTTGCAGATCCAAAGCTGAAAATTAGATTTGGAAACATTTTATTTTCTGGAGCTCTGAAATGTCAAAGCTGTGGGTGAGGCGGAGAGGAAAGGATTTGTTTTAAGGAGCACTTTCCCCAGAAAACAACCGTCTGAAATGACTGAAACCAAGAGCCACCTTAAAACAAATGGGTTGCTGAAGGTGAGCACTGTTGAGTAGCAGGT